AAAATTTTGAAAAACTAAGTGGTACAAAATGTTTCAAATAATCCCCTGACATGTTTCTGATAGAAAAAATGCAATTCCATTGGGTGCGGGAAACCTACCTTATCCGCCCTCCTCCTTTCAGGTACTCGAAAATACTCGAGTATATTTTTAAGTACTCGTAAAGAAAACTCCCGAGTACGAGTACGAGTACTGAAGATTTTGTACTCGAGTAAACTCGAGAACGAGTATATACTCGTACTCGCCCATCTCTGTGTTCTCCTCTTTCTGGCATAAGCATTAGCAACGTTTAAATAAATGCATCTGAAGTAAGTGATTCCAGTTCGATTTTCAAAGAGCATAGTCGATCATCTATTGGAAAGTTTTTTGCTTTTTCCATATAATCCATAGAAAAGTTAGTCTTATTACATTTTGCATATGTGGGTTACTAGATCATCGTTCGACAGATAGCAAAAGAACCAGAAAGAAAATGGGTGCGTGCGTTCGTCGGTTTTTTAAAGTAAACCTTTGCAGAGTAGCTTGTCTCCTGTTTTCTGTTTTTCTTTTCGCCGTTCTCCGTTCGGAGCAAGATGACATCGTTTCTCTTAATTTTAAAAGTGAGAATAATGAGACATGATGCATCACATGTCGTCTATTGCGACAAGGTTGTGCAATTACACCGCGAAGAAAGTGAATCATCTCATTCTTTTTTTATGGCGGTTAAGTAGAGCAACGCCACTTTTTTCTTTAGTGAAAAAACAAAATGTCATCCTCGCGTGGTAGCAAGCATAAGCATGTAGAAGAAGACAACGAAGAAGATCCTCATCCAAACAAGAAGAAGAAGAAGCTACCAAACAAAAGTATGTTCGTTAGATATGTGTGTCGTTTCTTTTGCAGAATACATACAGTTCTTCTATGTTCATTTTAGACTCTAATGATCAAAAGAGCGAAGTAAGTCAAGTCTATACGAACGGGTGAAAATGCAAGTGGGTAGCTACTTTCTTTTTGTCAATGTATTTCGACTTGGAAATGTTGTAAGCCTTCTGAGGTAAGGAGGAGGGAAGAGTGCCAGTGTGCTGCTGAATCGCTAATTGGTAAGATAAGGCGACTACGTCTGAAGATCGTATCCCTTTTTTCTTTTTGTTCCATTGGTGTAAGACATGCGCGAGACTTATAAACCGCATCTTAAACTTCGGAACTACTATAGGTAAGTTCTTCATAGTTTGAAACCACTTGAAGACTTGATGGAAATATAGTTGCTTGATTATAGAACTCACTGACGTTTCCTTTGAGTAGTTAAAAGCCTCCTCTCTCTCCCTCTCTACAGGTATTTGATCTGATAACAACCTTGTCTCCACGTCAACTCTGCTGGGATATTCTATTACAAGCGACAACATATCTCTGGCTGAATGAAGTGGTCCGAGCATTCACTGGCAACATATTACCATTATTAAAAGAAAGTCATGCAAAAGTGCACATCATTTATGATACAAACGACGGACCGAAGTTTCTCGCTGATGTTCTACGAGAATTGGATACCGAACAAATAGTTACACTTCGATTGGACCATACACATCCACACGGAAACAGTGCCAAAGCACTTTTCCTTCGATTACCCTCGGTGACCTCTCTTCATCTTCCCATTCATCCTTGGCATCGTTTTACCATGGTTTACAAATATTTACCTAAACTCAAGAGCCTGAGCATCGTCTGTAAAGATAATACAAAGGCTCCCTATCTGTTGGATATTCTTAAGAGATTCGAAAGAGTCCAACGATTTGAATTTCACAAAGGACAAGCCATATATTGTATAGAACGAAAATATACAACATTTGATCACTTGAAAATTTCTGCTACTAATCCTTTCTTTCGAAAGACAATGCCACAAGTACTTAGTGTGATTACAAGTTACCGGTTTCAAGGATTCCTTGACGAATCGTGCCTTCGACATATTATGAGTATGTCTGCCGTACGATGTGTACATTTAACTGTGAAGAAGGCAGCAGATCTCTACGGACTGCTGCCTGGCAAAAATTATATGTGGATGAAAGTAGCACAACGATGTTTATTCTTGCGAAAAGTGACTCTACATATTAATGATTTTTGTCAGGTCAATGACGAATTGGAAGGGGAACTACAGAAGATACTGAGATCCGTGAGAGATACCATTCAACTCCAAGTGGTCTTTCGCTGCCCCTCTTCCCCCACTCCTTGACTTTTCTAAACTTAAGCAATAAAGTACAACGAAGTGTTTCTGTCAAGGGCTTTTCGAGAGAGGGGTACAGTGGGAGCAGGTTATTTTCAAGAAGAAATTCAGAGCAGGCAAAGTCAGTGCTTTCGGTAGTTTCTTGGCAGCAGGCGCCGCAAAGCTCTTCCTCGATTATCGAGAATTCAGATCAACTGTTTGTTTTCTTTCAACCAGTTCTGTTTTCTTTGTACAAGTGGATGATAAACATCTCGTTATAACCGAAAAAATACTTAACCCTTTAAATCTAATACAGTTGCTTGCTCTTCTGAAAATCTCACAAATCGACCTGTTTTTCTGCTCCAAGTGAATATTTCAGATGTGTGATTTTGTTAGTTGGAATATTAGTGATACAGCAAATAGTATACAGTAAGCACTTGCATTCTTTGGGATATGTTTTTGCAGAAAAAATATCCCGCAGAACCCTGAATGGAAAGTAACCGAAAAATATAACAGAAAATAGATGGAAATCCGTTTCCATCGACTTCCAGAAGCGCATGTTTGCACTAGACTCGGTGATAAACTTATACAGAACACTTTAATCTATCATACGATGTGAAACTTGGGCGAAAAGAGCCCCTCTTGAACGCATTCTGTGCTTGGAAAGGATTTTAGCCATATTCCAGAAATATTTTACCGTCTTCATTGATCTTATAATCAACTTAGAAGGTTAATTAGCAATGACATCAAGAAAAATTTGAAGCATTCATACACAGACACGATGCTCTTCATGATGCACCAAAAGTTTTTTCAAAACCAATCGTTTTAGTGTATCATTATTAGACTTCTTTCGTAGATAGTTCCAACAAGGTTTGAATAGTCTAAATGTTGGTCATTGATTAAGCAGTCGTAAGAGCAAGTTTATTTTTAAATCGATTCAAACCATGAATTTTTTGACAGAATATTTTCAGAAATCTTCTAATAGCAAGGTTGATTTTTTGACTGTACAAAATATACATGAGTATGTATTAGAATTATTGAATCCAATGCAACTAGAGCAAATATGTCTTGTACACGACGTACAGGATATGAGAGTATAGGATTGATAATGACATTTAAAGCATTTTGGAATAGTATTAATAGTGATGGTAGTGAATGATGGATCAGTAGTAGTATTAGACGCATGAGAATGAAGATGATGAGAGTAAAATGTATTAAGGGCTGATTGAGAAAATGGAGTGTTATATGGAAGATTCGATGAAGAAAAAGGTGAATAACCTACAATGAAACCAAATAATGCATTGTTCTTTTGAATCCTGTGAAGTACAGACCTGTATTATTCCAAAAATCGTTAGATATTTGAGAAGGTCGTGAAGCAACTAACGATGGTTGGTGCATATTTAACAACGAAGTGCTTGTAGAGAAGACAGAATCTGTCGTTAATGTAGAGTGAACTGCTGTCGATGATGAAATGGTTGAGACAAATACTGATAATGGTAATGTATTAGAAGATCCGATTGTCGCCGGTGAATTATGGGTATCCATCAAAAGATCTAGAAAAAGTGGAGCAAACTGTTGATCTATAGTTCTAAGTTTCATTTTAATCTTACCATCTTTGAAGGCTACTTTTTTTGTTGATTCTCGTAACTTTACGTTTAGGAGTCGACGTTCTTGGAGTTTGTTTTGCTTTTTGTGATTGAATACTCGCTTTAAGTTGTTCTTTTTCTCTCAATTGTTTTAACACCTGTTCGTCGGTCAAAAGCTGTCCGGCTTCCCAATCAAGAACAATTTTTTTCATTGGAGACTCTTCTGTTGGTGGCGGGCGACAATGACGAAGAGCATTACATATAGCTTTAGTTGGACTAAACGGTGTCGACGATTGTAAATCTAATAGGATGGGATAAGTCTAATGGGGCATTGGTATCAGCTGTAAATGGAATTGTTAACTAACAAAAAACCTGTGGTATTAGCTACTTGACACTTACAATCATGATCCCAAGTGCTGAGATTTATCGGGATTAAGTCGCCTGGATTATTTTCTTCATCCCGCTCGCTGGTATTTACATCAATTTTATTTTACACCTGGTGTTTCAGGCCAAAACTCGCAGTTTTCACTCGATGACTCCCATCGAAAATAGTATCAATCGATAGAGAATTCAATTTATTAGTCCGTCGCTGACGAAATCAAGAGGTGTATGTATCATTTTCTAATGGTAAAACTGATTGTTATTTCAGGTCAAACTTTCTAGTTTTCACTTGATGACCCCCATCAAAAATAGTACCAATCGATATACACGACGGTTCCGCGTGGTATCCACAGATTTCATGAATGATGTACAAAAAAAGATTATCTGAAAAACTAATTTATCAACACACATGTAGAAAATCTGCAAAATACCACAGGTTAACTGTCGATATACCATCGTCTAAAAAAGAATACCGATCGCTATGTTAGCGATCAAACGTTGGGTATTCACAAAATAACATTAGTAAAAGAAGAATATTGTTGATAGTTTTTTGTAGGTTTTTGTTCACTTTTTAGAGTGCCCGAAGTTGGGCATAACAGTCAACGTTATACTGTTTGTGTATAACTTTAGTCACAGTTCTTATACTTTTGTCTTGTCGACGCGTGTTTTGTTGCTCTAACGAGAATGACTGATGCAAAATTAACACTGCGCAAAGCTCTATTATAATATTTTAAAATAAACAAAATTGCATTACGTGATCGTTGAAAATATAGCCGTAATACTTATGACAGCAAATTTAATATCGAAACAGATGATCATTTAGGTGTGAGTTTTAGTGTTGTGCTTAATTTCTGTTCTTTCCAATTTTTTTTAATGTTAATCAACACGGAATTTACAAAAATGTTTTTCAATGTTCTTTTTTCGCTCAGGCTCTGTTGCAGCCACATAAATTTTTGTTTATTTTCTGTTATTTATGAGTGGACACAGATTGTAAAGGATGTAATAGTTTGATGAAAAAGTATAAAACTGTTGCGAAATACGTTTGGTTTAAGTTCTACTCCTCACAATAATGTTAGAATACATCAAAAGCTCGTAAAAGAAACAAGTAGTTTAAGTGTGAACTTAAACCAAAATATACTTTGTAGCAGTTTTATACTTTCTCATCAAACTATTACTTTCAACTGCTCAATCAAAATCGTTTGTAAAAGATGTTTTGACGATGAGTGAACATCGATCAGCTCATTTAGAATCTTGTCATATTTTTGGTTTAAGCAATATGTTAGAAGAATAATCATTGTTATGGGAGATGAATATATTGATATTTGTAACCATAAAGAAGCACAATTGAATGATTTAGGCGGCATATATTTACCATTATTATCCTCTAATCGTCATCGTTATCCACTAACATTAGCTTACAAAATCAATGCCTGAACGATGTCATATTAATTCAGTTTGGTTAAAAGTCTTCGAACTTTTCGCTTTGTAGCTATCAACAAATACGAAGGAAAAAGTTCAAAGGCTTTTAACCAAATTATTAACTTCATAAACAATATAGCATTAATTATTAATTCAGTTGCATCTCTGCAATTTCCTTTATGTTGTTGGTCAATTCTTTTTTAGACAAACATCTGAAAGAGTTATTAGTTCATTATCTAAGCAACAGCAAGAGAAAGATATGAATAATTTGTTTAAGAAGTATTCGAATGTTCCAAATTTCCAAGTCAATAATAAAGAGTAAATAGTTGTACATTGAAGAGCGGAAATTATTCAAAGAATATGAACCTTGTTGATAAATATGTTTGTTATTTACGTGAAGAGCTTACAATAAAAGGTGCTGCTATTGAAAGTCTTCTTAGTGTGCTATTGGAAAGATAAAATTCGCATTAAAATTCAGACAACAGTTCCTCCTTATGTAAAGGGTTCAAAAGTGGCTCGCATCAGGGTTTCTCTAGATCTGTTGAATCGAATTTGCGGAAACGTTTTTCCCAAAGACTGTCGCCTAGGAACTCCACGAAGACCCAATCAAAATTTAGGATATATGACCATGAAGACCAAATAACGAGATTTTTCTTTGTGGGGTACTCTCACGAGATGTCTACCGACACTGCATGACGTTTTAATAATGTCAAACTTTCAGCGTTTGTAGTGCTCATCAAAGTGATTATTTTGTTGGAAAAGTGTTGAGTATTATTATTGAATTAATGAAGTAGAATTTGGTCATTAATTTGGTCAGGAAATTAATTGTTTGTATTATATATTGGCGAATGGAACTGGGTAAAACTGCTTATAGTAGGAAAAAATAAAAATGAAGTAGAGATCGTAAATAGTCCTTGCATGGAATGAAAATCTTGCTGCATTATCGAGTGTCGGACGATTAACCCAAAAGAGTGACGTATGGTATGACTGACAGTCGACCGTTGTGTACTCTCGCTGATTCAGCATGAATTTCGCTCTATAAACATATGAGTTGGTGGAAAAACACTTTTCTTTCTTTCTTGTTTTTTCATTGTTTGTAACCTTTGAGTAATATGAAGAAATAGTGTTTCCCAAGCACTTTCTTATTTTTTTTGTTTGTCTGTTCGTTTTCGTGGTGCCGAGTGAATTCATTATTGTTTCACTCTAATTGATTTGAAACTATTGAAAGCTGACTTTGTGTTAAAACATTTGATCACTTAATTGTTGTCCTGTCAGACACCTAGAAAATTAAAGAGAGAAATGAATCATTGTTTGTAGACTTCGCTGGTTCAGGGTTTGTAATAAAAAAGGATATGCTCTGCAGATTTTGATTGTTTTAGACTAATAAAACTAAGTCTATAACACCAGCAACATCGTTAAACACATGCAATCTTCGATCTCGAACGACAAATTCACGTCAAATATTGAATGACCCACTAGATGAGGATAAAACGTCTTTGGATAGTTTATACGACTGGATATTAAACCAATTGCATAACGGGCATGTGTTGGCAACGAGGGCTGCGCGATTACAATTACAAAATGTAAAGTTCGTACATTGCTATTATCTGTAGAATTAAGAATTCTAGAATTATGAACTTTACATACATGTAAAGTTGCTTATTCACACTCATCCTCACCCTCACCCCCACATTCACCCCTAGAATTCAGAATTTTAGAAAATTCTGAACAAGTAAAGTTCAACTTTACATACATGTAAAGTTCATAATTCTAGAATTCTTAATTCTGCATATAATAGCAATTTTTGAACTTTACATTTTGTAATTGTAATCGCGCACGTCTGTTGGCAACAGACGCATGTTTTTCATCAAACATCCAATTTAACATTTTTCACTCATGTTTTGGTTTACGCAAACTTTTTACTTTTCGTTTCCTTTTCTTTCGTTATAATCCCGTTATTGTTACTTCCATCATACAACGCTTGGGTAGTGATATTATTGACTAACTAACATTTAATAACACTTTAGCACTGAGATCGAATCCCTAAATTGAAATGCTTTAATCAAAAAATTACCTTGAACTAAAAGTTGACGTTGAACGTTGGATACATTCAGTACTGGTTAGAAGACCCAAATCATAGGTTGCGATGACCATATACGGCGACTTACGACCTTGTACTGTAACGTGTCACGATGTAAATGGCCGTAACTTGACGTAATTTGGCCGTAATCCTATGCTCTGTAACACGGCATCCGTAAACAACCTTTTACGGCCATAATGGACCAGTATACGCTCGTTTATGGCGGCAGTATTATTGTTTATGACGGAGCATAGGATTACAGGATCGTAAATTGATTTTACGACTCTTTGTGAACCCGTTGAATCACCTGAGGAAGTATTAGTGCAGATAATAGTAGATAGGGATAGATAGTGTAATGTATAATAAATATTATAATGCTGAATATCAAAATAAAGGACGAGGGCCGATAAGCCGATCATCCCGACCAAACCAAATCACAATAAAACTTACATATTTGGAATCAGCATCGAATTCTGAGTATTTCTGCTGATTTACTTTTTCGAAAATGTCACTTTG